AAAGGTTTACAAAAAAACACTCGCCAAAAAATATTTACATCTAGGATAAGGAGGAAAATTTAATAGGAGGAAAAAGCGAGCAAATGCAAAAATGGAAACAATACTTCCAAAAATTATTAAAGAAGAAGAAGGAAAAAGAAGAAGAGGAAGAAAAAAAAAGAAGAAGAAAATGAAAATCCTATGTACACCGCTGAGGAACCCACAGAAAAAAGAAAATATAAATTATTTCAAATATGAAGAATAATAAAAGCCCTAGGTCAAACAAAATTACCGCAGAAAACCTAAAATGTAGAGGACAACAAATAATAACAGAAATATTACAACTAATCAAAGAAATATGGAAAGCGGAAGAAATTCCATTAAATTGGAGGAAAGCAGTAATACTGCCAATTTATAAGAAAGATGACCCAGCAGACTTTGGAAACTATCGAGGTATAGCTTTGCTGGACGTTAGATATAAGGTACTACCCAAGAGGCACCGACGGTTTTATTTAGTACTTCAAGGATGCTTTAAAACTGTAAAATAAAACTGCAATTAAAACCAATTAGTTTTAAAAGGAGCCTTGAGGATGTAATAAATACGCCTTCAGCATAAAAGGGCCCACTCTGAAAGAGGTCAATAAAACCAAACATAAAACTATATTACCTTGAACAACTGATTTTAAAACTGCTGTGAAGACCCTTTTAAAACCATTTTAAATACATTTTAAACACACGTGGTTTTGAAGTGGACTTAATAATGTTAGTTACATGTATACTTAAGGATAATTTATCTAATTGTTAACATATGAAAATAGTTTTTTAAAACTATATATGTATATATAATATATATATATATATATATATATATATATATATATATATATATATATATATAATAGATGGTTTCAACGGAAGACATCTTGAAGTTGCAAAGTCATTGGAAGATCTTTGCGCCATCTATAAGTTATCATAACAACTAATACAATAAAAAAGAAAACTAAATTATTATTTTGGCAATCTGTTTAAGGTTACGGCGTCGGTTTTCATTTTTTTCTTCTTTCTTTGTCTTCTTCATAGTTGTATGTCTATGTGGTCTTAAACCTAAAATAAAACCATTAGATATCAATTTTATCAGTCGTATACAAGGTTTGTCAAAAATAAAGGTACTTATAATTAGTCTTGAACAAAATTTATATTTTTTGATGCACCACGACTCAAAAATTTAATATCTGATGGTTGTATTTTCAGCTTTAGACCATGTAGAACTTTTTATAAAGAATACCTTTTTTCTATAAAACTAACAATAAAAAAAGTTTCCCATATATGGTGCGCCGACTTAAATTGGACACATTGTATAACACTTTTCTTTCAAATACCTTAACACCTAATAAGGTAAGTCCATGCCAAGCGATGCTTTTCTATACAGACCTATACCTATGTAGATTATTTCATATGTTTTGGTTATTCTATACAAACTATTATACACCCTTGTAAGATTTTAGAGGATGAATTAAATAATATTTATTTTACACACACATATTACTTAAAATATTTTTTATATCTTCATTGTCAACAAAAATACTGAACAAATTCTAACCGTTTTGTTGGGTAATGCAGCCGACGCCCATTAAAAAAGGGTTTAATTTAACAAAAATCAGCCATAGAGACCTAACGCGCGCTTAGCAAGCCATGTAGATTTATAAACGTATTTATAAACAAAACTTACCTGAATCGGACTTGGGTAAGTCGTCCTTGAACTAAAATCGAAGTTCGGTTACAACGTCTCTTAAGTTCTAGGTGGTTCTGGTATTAAACTAGAGTTTAGAGATGGATATTAGCAAATCTGTAGCTGTTATGTACATTTACGGATTTGTTAATACCCATCTCTAAATTCACGCAATATAACCGAACTTCGATTTTAGTTCAAGGACGACTTACCAAAGTCCGACTCAGCTGAGTTTTGTTTATAAATACGGGCCTGAGAGTCAAACTGAGCCCATACAACTAAAGAAGAAGGCAGGAAAAAAAGAAGAAATTTATGTTGACGCCGCCGTAACTTTAGACAGATTGCCAAAATAATAATTTACAGTTTTCTTTTTTATTTTATTAGTTATTATGTAAAAATAATAATATATTGTTTTCAGTTTTTCTGAATCTTTTCAGTTTTTCTAATTATTGTAGGTCCACCCCTGTTTGACATGATACAAAATGCGGGGTTCATTTGGGCCACGTAAAAATAGGGGATGTTTAATTTTATTGTTTCTAACAAGAAGTACAGTTAGTCTTTACGATAACCAAATTGATTTAGTTAAGAGCATTCCGTTTTAATGTAGCTATCTAATTGCATTTAAGAAAGCCGTTATAAGAAAAAGTAATGAAATAGTTTTAAAACGCAATATTTACTGACCAAACTGTCCTAACTTAAAAACTAAAACGTCACAATCTAGAACACAATAAAACCAAACAACCTGCAAGTCCTTCATAAAACTAAGTAGTTTTAAAGTTAATTGAAACTAAACCATTTTAAAACTAACTCTTAGGATTAATTGCTCTCATTAGCGAATCTTATTAGATACTTTAAAATCAATATTAAATGCTAAACAGCTTCTAAGTGCCCGCAGTATATCTACAAGGTAACTTTAAAACCAGTATCTACTTATTTACCACATTAAAACCATTTTAAAACTGAAATAAACCCAAAATGTTTTTATGGTGCTACTTGGGTAACCACGTTAATAAAAAGAAGAATAGAAGTAGAAGGAGAAAAAATTATGGGAGAATACCAATGTGGCTTTAGAAAAGGCAGGTCAACGACTGACCAATTCTTTATTTTAAAACAGGTACTCACGTGTTGCTACGAATACGAAATACCGACCCATATTATGTTTATTGGCTTTAAAAGGGCATATCATACACTAAATCGACGAAAATTAGTAAATGCTTTGAAATAACTATAAATACCTCTTAAACTTGTAAAACTGACGAACATGACCCTGGAAAGTACAAGGTGTTCAATAAGAGTAGGAGGTGAGGAAACCGAAGAGTTTGAAGTTCAAAACGGTTTTAGGCAGGGAGACCCATTATCCACCCTTCTTTTTAACTTAACCCTTGAAATAGTCATCAGAAACAGCGGAATAAACAGATATGGAACCCTGATCAACAGATTCCACCAAGCATTAACATACTCAGATGATGACGAACTGTTAGCGAGAAAACAAAAAGAACTTAAAACATAACAGAACAGTTATTAAACACGGCAAGAAAAATGGGGCTAAGAATAAATGAAAAGAAGAGTCAGTACATGCAACTCAAAAACAAACATTTAAGAACAAATTCTGGAAAGCTAGAATTACGAACTAAAACCATAGGAAAAATAACAATAGACGAAACAGACAGTTACATGTACCTCGGTGTTCTCATGACAAATAGATGCGAAGAACAAGCTGAAATAGATCTCCGTCTAGCAATAGATGCGCAGGCGCTTTATACAATTTATTAAAATCTACAGAATTGTCATGGGAAATAAAGAAATGTGTGTACAAAACATTAATCAGACCTACAATGCTATACGGCAGTGAGACATAGACAATAAATAAGAAAGAACAGAGCCAGATTGAAATATGGGAACGAAAGATACTAAGAAGAATATATGGGGGCAAAAAGACAGACGAAGGATGGGAAAGACGAACAAACAAAGAAATCTACAAAATATTTAACGAATCCAACATATACGAAATAATACACTCAAAAAGGTTACAATGGTTGGGGCACTTAGAAAGGATGAAGTACTCAAGAACAGTAAAAAGAGTAGCTTGGACAACACCGGAAGGAAAAAAAGAGAGGAAGGCCTAGAAGGAAATGGAGGGAATCGATCATAGAAGATATTAAGGAAAAAAGATCATCAACAGGAAATAAAAAGCCAAGAACAGGGACGAATTGAAGAAACTAACCAGGCCATAGACCTAAACGGTCTGTTTCGAGCCTAATAAAAAAATATTTTTAAATGATGATTTTATGTACCCCGTAAATAATAATATAGGCACCCACACCTGAAATTTTCTGATCTGACAGATTTATTATGTGTCGATTGCGATTCTACTACAACAAATACTATTCAGCTGACCATAACACTAAAAACGGAACATCAGCTAGATTAAGAACTGGAAAAGTTTTTAGTGGAAATCCAGCAAACTGTAAAACTAAGAAAGAAATGACAGATGATAAGATATTTTTTAACGTAGACCAAGCATTTGACATGTTTGGCACGATGGCCAGCATTGGGATTCTCATCTTTCAATACGGCACGTGTTGAGACGACTATCTTCGTTCCACAGAATGCGATTTGTATGTAATGTCTCTCTCTATTTGATTCGTTACATGTTGAGTACACACACAAGAATCCCTGTCCTGATATAGAAACTTGAAAAATGCACCCTAGACAATGTCGACATTTTTCAATCAAATCTAACGAAAAGAATGTTTAGAGTGAAGCCAGTGCATGTTGATTTTACTCTCCGACAAATTGAACCAAAACAAGTAAGAATAAACAATGATGTTATTTCGCATCACAATTCGGAAAGAAGCGCACGAAAAGAAATAATGACGTAAGAGTGACGTAAGACTACCACGGGACGCGAGCATAGGTGGGAAGGACTGGCACGACCAGTTATTATTTTGGAAATTTCTAAATACTTTTAAGGGTATTTAGACTTTAAAATACGTGGTCACAGAACGGGAAAAGGGGGACACTACCTATGATGATTGAGAACAAGGCGTGGAATATAATTATTATTCGTAAAATTTTTAGATTAAAATTGTCAATAATGACTAGTAACAATACTTAAAGAAAAAAAAATAGTTTATATTTTGCAACTGCTTGTTTGTTATTACGTGTCCTCTTTTTTTAATTCAAGTTAAAAACCTTCTCATCTCGCTCTTCAAATAATTGATACACCACTGCTTTTAATCTGGTTGACATTTTTAAATTGTGACCCGCTACTGTTTTCATACTAAATTCGAATCGGTGATAGCCGGATGAAAGTGAAATTCAATTTAAAAATATTTGAGATAAACGGTATGCAAATAAAAAACTGATCTCTTACTATGAGTTTGTTAATATTTCGCGGAGAATGACCCGATGTTCTTTTTGTAATGTAAGTATATTTATTTATTAAGCATTTCAATGATAAAAAGTGTATATAAAACATTAAATTATTTTACAACATGACCTTTAATTGTTTTTAAATATTAATCCCTACTACTATATATAGTATAGGATATAATATTTGTGGATAATAACACTGTTTATGCATTACAGCTGACTGTATACAAACTGATGTCTGGTAAACAATCAGACATTAGTGGAAGTAGTAGGCATTTTCTACTTAGTTAATAAGAATAATGGATAGTGCTGTAAATCAATCGCTGCTACGAGAATTCAGTAAGTCACAAACAGTAAAATTAATGATTATATAATTTTACAATTATTGAATTGTTGATAAGAGTACCTTATTATTTCATACGAGATAAAACGTGGTATCAACTTTGTGTAACATAATAACAATATTATGAATTAATTCAATCACGTTTACTTTAATGAAATTAGAAAGTTGTAATTGAGATTATTATCGACAGACGTCGCTGTTTCCGCTATTCTTGAATTAGAACAGATGGAAATCTCGAGAAAAATCTAAGAATTTATAAATGAAAATTGTAGCAGACTTAACAAAAGTCTTTATAAAATCAAGAAAAGATTTTTTGTTTCGATACTTGAAATTGATTTCAAAAAAATCGTTTTTTATTTTCCCACTACATTCCAGTGACGTGCAAGGACCTGGGGAGGAATAAAATATAATTATTATGTTTATTTCGGCCATTTAATTCCGGATAGAAGTATAAGGCATTTCTTTATAAGATTACTACAATATACTTGGTTACAGTATTATGGTAAGTGTTCTGTAATTGTGGTTACACTGGTTACTGTGGTAACCCTATTATTGAATGTAATATGTCAAATTTAATTTAATTTTGGGGATATCTAAATGGAATTTGAATTTTAGGATGTTCTGATTTTGTTATTTTTTATTATAGTATGTTCTAGTAAGCTTATACATAAATGCCTAGTTAGATGTAGCTACATATGCTTTGTTAACATGTAACCAAAGCAGAGTAACCTTATAAAGAATTGCTCTGGTTACATAAGTATGTTCTAGTATGTTGTGGTAAGCTTATAAAGAATCGCCTTAAAGTGGTTTGAATTTTGAATTCTAAATTTCAAGTGTTTATTTCTAGGAATTGAGGATTAGTGTGATATCTAACCTCACTTTTCCCGCTTGTATCTACATAGCATGAATGACTCTATTTCCTTTTGATTTAATTTATTTTTTTAAGCAAATAATTTTAAACAATTTAACATTGTTCACAAAACAATATAATACAAAATACAACATATATAAAACATTTAAATGTAATCCATTATTCATGAATTCACGTGTTGTATATAGAATACATCGTATATGTCGCAACCCCTTAGATATAACAACCCTTCCCACCTCATTTTCTAAATTTGAAAAATTTAGATATTTATAATTGTCTCTTGTGGGTGAGGCTTTAACTCTAATAAAAAAAATAATAAGGTTACAGAAACAAATTATGATATTGCTTTTGATAAACTATAGTCTAGAGAAGAAAGGAGTGCAGTAATTTATTTTACAGAACGTAGTACAGGTTCAAGAGCTAGACATTTTATTTATATCTCATCCTTCAATGCTCATTTGTAGTTAAACTGAAAATTTTAATATATCTGATCGGCATAGTAAAAGTTTTCATTTAGATTTAATCATGTTTCCATGGTTTTTACTGTAATAAACCTTTTATTTTGATAGATAAGTCAGACTTTATTTATTCATAGCCGTATCGTATTTATTTTAATTAATTCGGAATTTTGAATTAGTACCTATATTATACATATAATTATACAGTTATATAAGAATGGCGAGTGCATTAGAAAATATTGCAAGCCCAATACGCGTAAACGACATAGTGGACATAAAACATTTTCTTTACAAGAAAAAAATATCGTACTTAATGTATTTAATAATCTTCGAAAAGACTTTGTTTCATTTTCTGTGGATGATATAGTTGCTAAATGTGGGACATATACTGGAGTATCTAAGCGGACAGTGTATAACATTATTAGAGAAGATACAGTTATTGAAGAAGCTTACATCCGAAAAAGCCCCCAGAAAGAAACAAGAACTTTATTAAAACTTGAGTAAAGAATTTAATAAGGCAAATGGTACTTGCTCTTTTCTTTCTAAATGAAATTTTACTCTCAAAAAATTACACTCAGAAGTACAAAATAGCCCCACTCTTCCAAATATATCATATTTTCATCTGCCATAAATATTACATGAATTAAATTTTCCTTATAAAAAACGTGACAGAAACAGTTTTTTAACAGAGAAAGACGAAATAATTGCATGGAGACATGATTATTTAAGGACAATAGGGGACGCAAGGAATCAGCATAAACAGGTATTTTATTTAGATGAAACATGGGTTAATGCTGGACATACAGTAATTTGGCAAAATACCTCCATCTAAACTAAAAAACAAGCATTTATGGAAAGGATTTCTCGTGGATTAAAACATCCAACAGGAAAAGGAAATCGTTTAATAATAACCCACATTGGAAGCACCGATCAATTTTTGCCAGATGGTTTAGTAATGTTCGACTCAAAGAAAACAAAATATTACCATGAAGAAATGGATGGCCTTATGTTTAAAAATAGGTTTTAGAACATTACAAAAAAAATCCAACTATTGTTTTGGATAATGCATTCTATCACAGTCGATTAAAGGAGCAAGATGGGCAAAAGAAGATATTTCAGAATGGCTTCATTTTAAAAATATTATCAATCCTCCTAAATCCTTAAAGGAAGAATTACTCGTAATAGCAAGGCAACATAACAACAAATTCAAAAAATATATTATAGACGAGATAGCCCGAGAAAAAGGAATTGAAATTCTCAGATTGTCTCCTTACCACGCAGAGTTAAATTACGTTGAACTGATCTGGTCAGAATTAAAAAGTTATGTGTGAAATTTGTTTTTGAAGGCAGTTTTAGATGTAAATGGAGAACATTGGAGAAAATGCATTGATCATGTTAAAAAGGTGGAAAATTTATTTTGGAAAGTGGATATAGCAATGGAAAACTTAAAAGACCCTATAATAATAAAACTCAGAAAAGTCAATGATGATACCAGTAGTTGTAGTGAAGACAGTGACTTTTAAAGATAGTTTTTTTACCTTTGTTTTTAGATACTGAAGTGTTACTTTTAATTCCAAGAGATTAAAAAAGTTTAATACTATTAACAACATATAATCCTCCTTGTTATCTATTGGTTAAATTTAATTCGTTCAATGTTAAAGTGCAACAATTTTTTCAGTAGCATAAGGTTTATTTTTATTTTTTGTAAATAATATAAGTTTTTTCATTCAAAATTTAATCTACGGAGTGCTTACATACCATTTTATATGTCGTGACCTTATTTGTATTATAGAACCTAATTTTGCAAAGTACGCCCGTGGAATTTGATGTTTTATCCCCACTTTTACTGCACTCGTCTTTTATTCGGACTATAGTAATTACTTTTAAAAATGAATGAGCTCTTGAAACGTTCTATTGGGAAGAATTTCACAATTTCCGCAAACTTAACTATCTTCAAAGCAAATGTTAGCGGTTTTTTTTATGATAATTTGAAAGTTTTTAAAAATTTGGATTTACCCGTAGATTGATAGGATTTTTTAGTATTTTATACTTTGAGTAAAAAATTAGACTAGCAGACGTTACATCGTTTTGAGCAAATGCATGCCTTATCATGCCCAGTTGTACATTTTTCTCGAAAAAGGATGTCAAGCGGATGATTCGGTCATTCTAGTACAACTTCTTAAAACATATTCTACTTTCTTAGAACCCCGGGTTCGCTCTGAACATAAAAAAAGCTCGTCCTTCGTTACAACCAAAAATGAAAATAAAATGTAATTTGGGTAATGCAGCTTTTTTGTCCAAAACCCCAAAAGAGAGATATGACATATGCAAACGATTCAGATGATGTACTCATTCTTTAGGTAACAGGTATATGGAGAAAAATGATTGTAACTTTAATAACTTCTCAAACTCTCACAACCCTTTCTGTAGTCTTGACAGTAGGAAACAATTTTAATGTACATACAATAGTACTACCTGATAATACCGATCAAGGAGAAGCGACAGCTTGGTGTTTTCAGTGTACCGTTTTGTAACGCGCATGTGCGAAAATAAGTTGTGTATCACCACACACTTTGATTACTATACGATGCAAGAGAGGGGTCCGACACGCTCAACATAGGGCGCGGCCATTTTGATGCCTTTGCCACAGTTTATAGCTAAAGAATCAGTTCGCTCACTCTGCGTCGGCACTTTTGAACTCATTGTTCCAGTTTATACACTGCGCAAATCGGATAATACAATATATGACAACCGCCTATAATAAAACAGCAGTCTTCTGCGCATCCTGAATTTGTATCCCTGAAGTGGATGTTATTTTGGAATTTTCAACTGGTCCGAGTGAGCTAACTGATTCTTTAGCAATAAACTGTGACTCCAAAAATAATATTCACTGACACTGACAGCAGCAAGCAAAATATTAAAAATATTGCGCCAAGATGTAGGCAACAAGTAATAAGGCATCAAAATGGCAGAGTTTTCTATCTCCTTTTAAAAGGCACTCAGAAAGCTGCGCAGTGCGACCATTCTCCGTATAGTAAGAGAAAATCAAAGTATGTGTGTATCACTCAAAATGATGGTATCTGTCAAAGTCAGTCCAAGTTGTGTTTAGTACGTGAGCAATGTCTCCGAGCAGCAATGTTAAGTGATATTTTTTGGTGTTTGTTTTGTGTAGTAATAAGATGAAGATTTTTTATTCTAATACCGATATAAAATGTGCCAAAAAAGTTATTAGGAAACTAAGAATTTTATCACATATATAAATATTAAGTATACTAATTTAATTATTTTTGACATTTTATTTTTCATATGTAGGTATTGAATTTTCTGAAATATATGTTTGTCTTCTTTTAAATAAATTTAATAAATAATGAACTGCAGATTTTGTTTATTTTATTTTGAAATTATATTTAAAAAAATATAAAAATACGCATGTTTCAATTAGGATTGGTCAAAGTGGGCGATAGGCGATATCCCTTTATTTTGGCTAAATTGTAAGTTACAATTATGTCAATATAAAGATGTTTTGCCCATTCATATTTATATTTATTGAATGAATCCTGGAGTTAATTTTGGAAATATTGGTACATACTTAAATAAGTACTATTTCTAAAAATTCGTCTATGCCCAGACAGCACACATAGTCCAATGGACGTACATTTTAGATCCA